AGTGGGATTCACAGGCCTGCAGCTCTACTCTGGAAAAGTCTCTTTAAAAAGGCAACGCAACTCCACAGGATTTCTGCTTCTCGAGTTTCCTACTCTCAGGGCGAGTTACCCTGGGACTTGTACATCAAGCTAGACACGCCTTGCCAAGTGCATCCCAAACTGTACTAAAGCAGCTGCAGGATAAATTCTACTTCCAAAGCGTAAGTGTGACTACATGGTTTGCAGTGGAAGTCACGTAGATGCGACCAGGGCCAAGATGCAGACCGACATTAGGTTCGGAACTACCAATCCTATTGGTACGAGCTGTCACACGCCGAGCTTGTTCTGCCCTCACCAAATTCATGTCAGAGATACAGAGGAAAATGTTTACAGTCCTCCTTCTGACATAAGCTGCATTTCAAGGGACACTCATTATAAAAAGAGATACCAGACTTATCAAGTGCTCAAGTACACTCACACTAAAACACTGCACAGCTACTGAATCTTCATCAGCATTGGTACAAACTTTCATCCCTGATTTCTGCTTCCTCGGTATTTAGGACCTAGAGATAGCAGAATACATGAATGACAGCAGCCTGGTGACAGGAGAATACATCCCTCCCATTTCAAAATAAAACATAACAGGAAGAGGGAAAAGATGCCCCACCACAAAAGGGCACTGGATTTTTATGCCCACATTTAAGCACTTCAAAGCTGCTACTTTTCTCTAGGCACATCCAAACAGTCCTGGAGAAACTCTACAGCCATGGTGACCTGCTTTTGGGAGTCTCGCTGATGAGGGATGTTCCTCACTCGTACAGACCAGCACTGCAGGTGGCGAAGGACTGCACAGAACAGGGGCTGTGTTACGGAATCGGCTTGAACGGGGGCACGGGCAGTGCCCCAGATTTTCTCTCTCCTCTTAGTGCGCGCTCACAGGTGGTCCTGGAGACCTGGTTGCTGTCCTTTGCCTTCTGACAATCAGATGCCATCCTTTTTCTTTTAACCCATTTTTGGCTTTATGTCCATATTCAGAAAACACCAAACAGGTGGTGGTTTGTTTTTTTTTTTGTTTTGGAAATACGTTTGTTTATTTGTTGCTGCAAAAATATGGCTCACATGTTCCCACCTCAAAGTCACAAATGTTCTTCACCCTGCCACTTCAAAGCTCTTGGCCAAGATACTTTTTTTTCAAGGACTGGCACCTGTTAACAAAGAACTGATAGGTAAGTCATGGAATGGGAAATGCCCATTTATCCTTGAGCTGAAAAATTGTTACAGCTTGAAAAAGTGAGAATGGAGCGAGGGCAAGAGTTAAAAAATGAGTTCAACTGCCTACTGCCATCCACATCCCACAACTGGTTTCTTCACTTGGGCTCGAATACATACTGGCTTCCCTGTGTATCCATCTAACGTGTTCTCAAGCTGTGAGTTAACACCCAACAGCATTAGCTGTTGTGGTTCTTGGGAGGTTATGATCCCCTCTTTTTTAAGACCATGCTATAACTCTGCTGTCAGTGGCCTAATTTAAAGGCACTGACTTCAGCACTTGGTAGGAACATGCACTTCTGGGTCATCAATCTATTTACGTATTTATGTGTGTGCATAAAGGTGCGTGATACTGGAACAGACATCTTGCCAACCACTCCTCTGGGTGCAGAGGTGATATATAGACACTGCTCTCAAACCACTATATATGAAGCCTGCTCCAAACTGCTGCTTATACGGCACATTGCAAAGGGTCAGTGAAACTCCCCTTACTGCTCCAAAGTGCACATATTTCACGTTATGAGTCCAGTCTCTACGCAATTCACTCCTCCTAAAAGCAAGGTTTTCTTTCTTGAGTCACATGCCCACAGTCACTGACAGGACCACGTGTTACATCCTGGCAGAGAATATTCTGTAGTACTGAAGCATGCCCTGCCTTTCAAATTGAGTGTATGAAAAAATAATTGTAAAATTTCATTTAACTCCAAAGATCATCAAGAAGTCACGGTAGAGGTCAACATTTTGGCCGTGGAAAGGGAAAGCAAACCAACCAAGCTAAATTATGTAGCTCTCATCTCGCCAAGTTCTTCTACATGCCAAACTAAACACAGACTAAACACAAGTCTCAAGGAAAACTGTGAAGAAAGAGGAGAGCCTGAGGATTCCATGAACCAGATGGTTTAGTCATGGAAAGGGATGTAACTGTTGGTAACAGCTTTCTGTGCCTGTAACCAACTTCTCATCTGATCAGTGTTTTCAGAAACTGGTAGATTCATTAACAGATACAGAAATTCACAATAATTTAAGTTTCAGAAAAAAAGGTTTGGGTCCTCCCCCCCCTCCCCCTTTTAATAGGGCAATAAAAAAAAAAATTGGCAAAAGAGCTCCAGCACATGGGGACACAGAAGCTCACATATTTTTTTCTCTGAATTCCCAAGTGGAAACACACATCTTGGCACATGCATTCCACAGAGTCCTTTTGTCGCACATGAAAAACCCAGCTTTTCCTGTAGCTGCAGAAAGTGAAGCGCAGGTCTCCCTTGTTAAGACCGTCCTTGGAACTGGTGCGTTACGTGTTACTTTTCTTACTATATGAAGATACAGACTATGCCATACCACTTTTTGTGAAGAGTGGATCAGGTCTCCAGCCAGTCTGAGAACATAACTTCCAAACACAGCTTCCCAATATTTTACTGTCCTTCCCTGTGAACTTGTAAGGTTTTAAAGAGGGATTTCTGCATCAGCAAGCCTTTTTTATTTACCAGTACATACCTGTCCTGTAGCTGTTCTTACAAGACTTGGGACTGAAAAAGGACATTCTTCCAAACATAAAAAGATGGAATATTGTAATAGCATCACTAGCAAAAATGAATGACAAATGGCTTAGGTATGTCTAATTTTCAAAGCTCTTATTGCACATTCCTTCTTTAATAGCTGGAACCAGCAGCCAGACAATGAACTTACTTTCTGGAAGTCCACATTTTCTTGAAATGAAGTCACAGTAATGTGCTAATATTATAAGCACTGGATTCTGACCTCACTGCAGAATTAAGTTGGAGAAGTGTGTGGGCTATAAAAGAGCTGGTTTTAATAGGAACACTTAAAAATAGTCAGTCTTCAGCATTGCCAGAAAGACCAAATGAACATTGCTCGATCCACTCTTCATTACGCAAAACCTGAAATTTTCCAGAAGTATTGGCAACATCCATGTTTAAAAACTTAGCAGAAAGTAAGTGTGTTTTTATTTTCATCCTAGAAGTGATTATCAAACAAAAAGCTTAAAAAATTCAAAACAGAGTATCCTGTCGGTACTGCTGTTCACAACCATGCTGGTGTTCTGACTCCATCCAAACCTCGACCAGTGCCCATGAGGGCTTTAAGTATTGGCCAGAGAACTGGACATTAATTTAGACTGCTTCGCTACAGCAAGTCCCTCAAAACAATTTAATACAGCCTTCTGATGATCATGGGTAAACAGAAAAATAACTGAGCTTCCTACTAAAGAGGGGAAACATACCACCTCTTTTTTCACATCAGTGAGCAGCCAGTTGCTTCCCAGTTTTGGCTTTGGCAATGAATATTAGGTACATACTTCGTGAACAATGTACGTAGGGTTCTTCCATGGTGTCCTCCTACCTGTGCTCATTTCAGTCGGAGTCAATCCTGTCACAGCTACTGAACTGTGCACTGGCACCAGGAACAGACCTGGTAGCCACAGACCACCACACCGTACCACTGTCATATACCTGTATTTTACCAACACCATTTCTACCTTAGTAAGTGAGGCAGATGCAGCCCTACCCTGATCAACTGCCCAATGAATTCTTTGGTGGCGTATGTCGCTTAGACCTTTTACGACTACCATCTACTAGTGTTTGAAATACCCACACTGTAGCACCAAACGGTTTTGCTTTTCATTTTTCTAGCGCAAGGCTCCCAAGCCTCCTCACAAACACTGCGCTTGCCCTCTATCTCTGTGTCAGCTTGTTAGCTTTAGTTCAGTCTGATCTGAAAATAAAAAGTCCAACAAATCACGACTTAAGTAAAACTTCCATATGTATTATGTCAGTTACAGTTATGCAATGGCCAAATATTAGTAAATTCGTAGCTAATATTAAATTAAAACTCTGGAAAAAACAGCAACAAACAGTTCCATGGCACGTACCATTCTTACCATGGGGATAATGCTTACCCTTTGTCCAAAGGGACAGTGGAAACAAGTATAAATATAGAAACTGTCTCAAAACTGCAAATCTAAGCCTATGTTAATGCTCTAAATTGTCACTGACTTTCACTAAAATTATTCAGGTCCAAACATAAGCAATGATTTAGGACATCAATTTATAACGTAATGCTGGTGACCCTGTACCAGTCAGGCTGGATTGGTTTCTGTCCACAAAGCAAACTAAAGAGTGGCAATATTTTATCACTGGTCTTGCAAGAGCATATAGTATGCATATATATTTTTTAAAGATGTACATACACATTTCCCAAAATTTAACTGTGGTGGAGTATTCCTCTCCCAGTTTTCAATAATTTTTAAACAAAATAAATACCAAGCCCTGTCTGTTCGGATGCTTTGCTTTGTTTTTCCAGCCTGAATGAGTTTACAGATATTTTCTTAGTTATACAAGGCCAATGTTTCACTTTGCAAACATTGAAGATGAAGGAACACTTGAAGCTTCAGCACCAGAAGGAAAACAAGGAAGAGTGCAAAGGGTAGCTCCATTTGGAAGCATAGAGCTGTAACAATTCTTGTTCCAGTTTGTTACAAGTAGCTCATCAAGACTTTTATTCTAAGTAGTCCCATTGTTCCTGACAACCAAAGTGATTCTTTTTGGGATCACACCTTCCACACCCTTGAGCTGACACAGTCTGTAACCTTGCAGAACAGCAACGCAAACCAATTCCCCATAAGCACTGGAGAGATCAAAATACTTGTCATCTCTTGCAAACTATCATCTCAGTTTATTCAAACCTTCGCCTACTTCCTCAGAAAAAGGAGTCCATCGTACTCGGGAGTTTGTTCCTGTGATTTTTTTTGTTGCTGGAGTGTTGACTTCTTAACCTAAGCTTTTACTTGTTTGTGAGGCTGAACGAGGGTAGGGAGAGAAGAAGAGCACCGTAACTTTAGCATTTTAATTAATATTACTTGTGATGACACTGATGATTTTCCCTATTTGTCCCCCATCTCTCCTTACTATGCTCATTTTGCTGCCTTTTTCATTTTTTTCCAGAGTGTTGTCAACACAGCTGTGAAAGTCCATTCTGTTGAGAGAACAGCAACGCTGATTTCCTCAAAGTCTTTGCTTCCATAGGAAGCAGATACCTGGCAGATTTGCAACGGAATGCTGAATCATCTACGGACGTTCTGCACTGTTGTCTGTTTCTGAGAAAGTCGAAGAAGTTCTTCTCTAATTGCTTTGATAAGAGAGGTTGAAGAGTGGCCTGGCTGGAGGTCCTCAGTGGAACTGGTGGTGTAGCAAAGGCCCTGGCCCTGAAGGCTGTTGTGCGGAAGCTGAGCAGGGGGTGCCGAAGGCTGCCTGGTTGAAGTCCTTGGCATCTGGAATACTGGTGAGGAGGAATATTCTTGGTGTCCATGCATATGAGTCTGGAAAAAGGTAGAAAGCATTATTGTACTTTGTGAACAAACATGATAATCCCAGAAAAGACAAGAAAGCAAAAAGGCAAAGAACAGATGGAAAGCAGCATGGAGATGCTTCTATCTGCTACCACTGTTCTTCTGTTGTATGAATAAGTAACTCCTCTTACGGAGCACAAAACAACAAGTGTACACAAAATTGCTGGACTGCCTCAAGTTCAGGGATTTTCAAAATCTTTTTGAGCATCCATTAAAAATTCTGACCCCCTTTCTACTCTATGGCATGTTTAGATACTGAAGTGGAAAAAGGTGGGGAGAAAAACCATGGAACTGGAAAGTCAACAGAATTGGCTTCTCTTTCCTTGCCTTTCCATCAACTTCCTAAAAGACAATAGGCAAATCCCTCTGTTCCCGCCTGTCATTTCTCCATACTATCTGTAAATAAAGATGCTACTGCCTTCACCTTCTCTGCCTGGCTTGCCTGTTCAGACCGTACGCTTGTGAGGACCCTGTGACTGACCAGTGCCCAGGAAAACATGGTCTACAGAAGAAGCAGCAGGAGAAAATTATTCAAACCGGAATGATTAGATTTTTCTATACTCAACACCTGTTTTACATCTCTTGAGAAACACTATCCCAGTTTAGGGACAGTCATTGTTTCAGGGTAGAAAAGGGTTAATTCTGCATTTGTTCAGTAACATGTATTTTCTAACGAGAGAAACAAAACAGAAGCCTGAGTTTATGGGCTTGTCTATCTGGCAAAAAATCTGCTTACACTAAAACAAAGCATGAATTTACAGTACACTAGGTGATTCCACTGAGTCCCAGGATGGACACAAACAAGGTACATTTCAAAAACCTAAATTCCAGCTGACATCCCTCAAGCGTTTCCTCTTGCCTCGCACTGCTGACGGCCGAGAGACAGCCAGAAGATAACACTGGACACAAAGGATTCGAACACGCCCTTGCTCGACGCACAACCGGGAGCAAAGCAGCGTAATGCCCTTCCAGAGGGTCTGCGCTGGGGACGAGGAGCAGCTAGCTGCAGCAAGCTGAGGTCGCAGTCATCATTTACTGAGCACTGTCTGTCTCTGTGGATAACCCTCAAGTAGCAGCAGAGAGATCGACGTGATTGAGGGAGGAAAGGACAGCAAACTCAGCTAGAAGAGGATTTGGGGGTGATGGGGAGGGGAATGAAGGGCTTAAAAGCAGCGCCTGGGAAGGATATGGGGGACCTGGGGTGACTGTGGCAGCAGTGTGCAGGGAACACAAAAATACACGACAGTGTGTTCCTTAACATCTCTCAATACAAATAATAAAATCTAAGCCATTTTTTATAACGTAGAACTACTAATAGATTCTGACTTTCTTGCATAGCTCACATACAGTACTGATCATTTACACAGTTAATTTGGGGAGAGAGATTAAGAGGAAAAGAGGCTTTAATAGAAGAATGATAGGTAAAGGTTTTCCAGGTAACATCCTGTCTTACTTCTTATAAAAGGGAGGCGATTTTAGTATCAGAAAGGAATGAATGGGTCTCTTGATTGTTCAGAATTATTCCTTTGGCAGTGAAACCTGAAACTAATTCATATGTGCAGTCTAGAGTTAGCAAACCTGACAAATACCCTGTGGGTTTACAGAAGAGAGATGACAAAAAATAAATATTAAAAGCAACCATTCCTTGACACATGAGTCTTAACAGCAGCCTAAATATGTTCAGGTTACTTTCCCATTAAAATGCGTTACGTGATTCAGCTCCTAATTCATACTGCACTGCATCAGCACCATCAGAATGGTTTCAGGGAAGTTAGGAAGAACATCGGATGACTGCAGTGGCTGGTTTTTAACATTAAGGCTATCAAAATTTTCTTAAATATCTCAGAACAACAGAAGTGTGTATTTCTGTGATCTCACATATACACCAGAATTCAACAGTTCTGAGAACCTTCAAAAGCAGATGGGTTTAGAAATCTAACCTATACTAAACTACAGCAGTAATATAAGGAGAGTAAAAAAGCTGGAAGAAATTTTGGTGTTTTTTTTTACTTCTAAATGTCTTTAACAGAAATACACATTGATATATAATGATATATGTAATAATATAGTTTTATACAGTACCTATATATTTTTGTCTAGAAACGTCTGTATAATTAACAGTTGTACAAGGTAATTGACAAGAATACCTTTATTCAATCTTCCTTCTTAAGGAATTAAGATTTATGAGATCAGATTGTGAATCTGTTAATCTCCATTTAATAGCTGTTGAACTCTGAGGCCAATTTCACCTGAACTGGATGTATAAATATATACACACATTCATGTATATCTGTGTATGAACGAACACATTACAAAATTTACAAAAATAGGTAGCTAATTAGCTGTAACTCTATTTGTGCTATCATTGAATCTGCTTCCTAGTGGCAGAAAGGCCAGGTTAGGCTGTGCTTAGCCAGACCTATCAGCCAGCATGTTTCTCACAGGGGACAGCTAGGGGACATGAGAGACAACTTTAAGTATGGTGAGATGGTTTAGAGACACGAGAGTGGGCAGCCGGAGTATAAAAATAGAGTAAAAGATAAGGGTGGTTTGGGGGAAGCACTGGAAACCTGGAGAAGACTTGGGAGAGCAGTGGAGAGCTATAGGGGATTGTAGATGGACAGGAGGTGATGCCAGGTGGTGGTGGGGAGGTAGAGATATGCATGACACTACACACATCTGTAAGACATCAGGCTTTATTTGTTCTGCTGCTCAAATGACCGATCGCTCGGTGTTGTGTTTGGTGTCAGCTAAGGAAATGCTGTAATTATCCTGGTTGCCCAGGACTTCCAGATGGCGAATTAAGATGGTAACCTGCACAGCAGCTTTGGGTCAGGAGATACAAGTGAGAGGTCATATTCCAGCGGAAAATCAGGTGTTGACTGCAGAAATAACAGGTGAGGATGCTGTCAGGAAAAGGGTCATTGCAGGAACACAGACACAGACGCCTCTCAAGTTTGCGTGTAAGAAAAGCGCTCTAGTTTCTTCCTAAATGCTGAGTTTAATTTTAGAAACTTGCTCAGAATGAGGGAACAGTAAGACTGTTTGCAAAGGATCATCTGAATACTGCACCATAAGGAATATGACTGTCATTAAGTAAATCCTCCTTTCCAAAAGAAGGAAAGAAATTTAAAGCTCTGTCCCAGTGAAGGAATCTAAACTCTGAAGGTAATTATTTAACTACAGAAAACTGCAAGACTAGGGCTCATCTAATAATGCTTCTTTTTTTTAAACAGGAATAATCCTTTGCAGAACTCCAAAGCATTCCTCATAGGAAAAGGAAAGTGCAGGCACTAGGTGACCTCTCCTACAACTGACACCATACTCATGTAGTTTTAGTCCATGATCTCCTCCTTTCACTTTTTTTTTTTTTAAAAAAAACAACCAACCAAACAAAAAGAACCAACAAGAAACCTGGAAAAGTCACACTGCAGTAACATATGAACTGCAGCAACCAGTGAGCAAACAGTTCTGTCAAAGCCAAGGATTGTTTAAACTATGATTAATTAAAAGAAAGTCAATCTGGATTGAGGTGACATGTACCATCTGAAATGGTGACTGAAGGTGCGAACTGCAACCAAACCATATTGTATAGGGCCATGAATCTTTGAAAGTTGTGCAGGTAACTGATATCAAAACCAACTGTTCACATAGCATCTCAGATAATGGGTCTGAAAGTGAATTTTCAGTAATATGTTAGCGATTCAAGTAATAAAATATTAAGTAATGGCTCAACATGCATTTGGGGGACAGAAGATCCATCCCTCAGGTCTATTCTCTTTGAGAGAAGGGCGTGTTTGATTCCACAATAGAATTTGTTTCGTGGTTAGTCTTTCTCCCCTCCAGGGCCATTGTTCAGTCATTTGTGAGCCTCCGTAAATCCAACAACCAGTTATGTTTAATTCTTGTGCTATCTTTTGCATTAAATCTATGAACAGGTTTTTACTTGGGGTAGGTAGATCCCATTCACTGAGCTTTTGTTTTAGTTTATCATATGTGTTCGCAGGTGGCCTGCCCGGTTGTTTAGAGTGTTGTATTTGTTTGGTTACATTTCTAACTAATTCTTCTTTATATTGATCTTGTACTCCCCCTCCATCAGTATATCCCCACATACCTGTTTTGGAAAGAGTCTGCACCGCTGTTCTTCCATATCGGGTCAGTCGATAGCACTTAGAGCAAGCATCTTGTGTCGATTCCCCCAAATTCGAGAACAAAAGCAGTATCCCTAGAATCCATTTTACCCCTCTGTCTCCCTTGCCTATCGGGTTGCTTCCGGCAGCAGGTTTTCTGTTTTCCTTCTCGACAGCAAGGGTAATGGCCTGGGATTTCTCATCTGCTTTGTTTCCCTTCATGTTTATTTTTTTTTACATCTTCCCAGCTATGGCAAGAACAGCAGGGCACCTGACTTCTTTTACGACACTCCCTTTTCCCAATCACAGCTTTACTTTGCAATTCACCTCTAGTACCGTGTATGAACAATTTTCCACCACTGTGGTCTGATTCAATGATTTTTTTGCTATTATTTTTTTTAGTGTTTGTTCAGTGATTATATGCTCAAGATGTTCACACTCCGGACATAAGCCTTTAGGGGCGTATTTCCCGGGGAAATGGTAATACCACCACTCTTTACAGTAATTGCATTGAGCACATACTATTGGGTTACAGTCACAATTACTTTTATCGCAAACTAATTTAGACCTTTATACTTTTGGAAGATTATCCGTAAATCTTCCATTCATGAATTAGCCCCTTTATTCGTGACACGTGAGTCCAACCTTTCCTCAGTGGTTCGGACAGCAGTCTCTCTGGTTTTAATCAATACTTTGTCTCCGGGCTTAATTTTTTGTATGGCAAAATCCAAAGGGGCTGTTTGAGCCAAAATTCCTTTTTCTCTAAGTTCCTTAATATTTTCAGTAATAGTTTTAATATATATCAGGTTCTCGTTAAGGGGCATCCCCTGAGAATATGGCATTCCGTATAACATTTCATAAGGGGAAATCCCTGTATACGTATTCGGCATAGTTCTTATATTTAGTAAAGCTAACGGTAAACATTTAACCCATGATAGTTTGGTTTCTATTATTAATTTAGGCAATTGTTGTTTCAAGGTTTGATTCATTCATTCTACCCTTCCTGAACTTTGTGGGTGCCACGGAGTATGATATTCCCAGGTGATACCCAAAGCAGTGGTAAGCACTTTAACAACCCTTTTCTTTGAGGTAAAGTGCAAACTTTGGTTAGAATCTATCACCCGCGCTATGCCATATCTGGTAATAATATGCTCTAATAAAATTTCAGCTACTGAAGAGGCGGTAGCCCTTGCTGTGGGAAATGCTTTGACCCAGTGGGTAAGTTGATCTATGATAACAAGTAGATACCTCCACCTCCCTACTTTGGGCAACTCGGTAAAATCTACTTGGATCTTTTCAAATGGTCTGTAGGCAGTTTGTCTCCTTCCACCTGGGTTTTTGACGTACGGCTCGCTTATTCACTTTCTGGCAAGTGAGGTATCCATAGGTAGCTTGTTTCGCAACTTCATATATTCCAATACAAGCAAAATGTTTTAAAAAATGGTCGCTTAAAGCTTTGGTTCTCCAATGTGTTCTCTCATGGAGTTGATCAATGATTTTTCTTGCATACGATTTTGGTAGAATTTCTCTACCATCTGGCAAAACCCACTTGCTATTTTTAAATTCTGCCCCTAGTTTCTTAATATTTTCCAATTCTTGTGCAGCGAACCTTTTTTCTTTTAATGTCTCCTCTTCTTGTAACTGTAATGTCAGAACGGGAGAGGGTTGCGTCCTCATAGCCGCTTCCTTAGCCTCCTCATCTGCTAGGTTGTTTCCACGAACCCGATAACTGGTGCCCTGTTGATGACCCCTGATATGGGTTACAGCTATTTTTTTGGGGCCCTTCAAGGAGTCTAAAATTCGCACAATTAAGCCTTGATGGATTAGCTCCTTGCCATGTGTATTCATTAATCCTCTTTCTTTCCAGATTTTTCCAAAGGTATGCACTATGCTATAGGCGTACTTTGAATCTGTATATATAGTCCCGACCTTATCCTTTAATAGCTCTAATGCCCTCCATAAGGCATATAGTTCACAAGCTTGTGCTGACCAGGAGGCACTTAAGGGACCCGATTCTACTACCTCTATTTTTCTTCTGCCCACTATTGCATACCCTAATTTTCGCTTGCCTACTCTCGAAGACCCGTCTATAAATAATCTTTCTCCCTTCTAAGTATACGGGATATTGTCGTACCCTAATAGGAATATGTGAATCTTTCACTTCTATTTTCAAGGGTTCAATTTCCCGATATCCCCAGTATTGTGCCAAACTCTAGGATCTATCTTATTTTCATCTTCTATGGTTAAAGCGCACAACTTTATTTCAAGTTTCCCATTTTAGTTTCTATATTTAATCCTAGTGCAATGATTAAATCCCTTCCCAGTAAGTTATTTTCTGCCTCAGGTACTACCAATAAATCGTTTAGGCATATACATTCATCTGATTGTTGGAGACTTGTGGAGTCTCCTTCTCTGGAGATATTCAAGACCCGCCTGGACAAGGTCCTCTACAGCCTGCTGTAGGTGACCCTGCTTCGGCAGGAGGGTTGGACTAGATGACCCACAGAGGTCCCTTCCAACCCCTACCATTCTGTGATTCTGTGATTAAAAGAAGGGAAAGGCCCACAGATCAAGAAAAGAAAAGTCATTTTCAGAAGAGAAAGACAAATTATCAGAAGGGGCAATGAATAGTAACCTAGAGATGCCTCTGAAAATGGAACAGGAGAGACACTAAGATCTCTCCTGCAAGTACTCCTCTAGATGTACACTAGATGATGTTCTTGCACTCAAATACCACAGTTCCAAGCACAGATAGCGAGTTAAATTAGGCAAATACATCTTTCGGCTTTGACAGCTGAAGTTTTTTAACAGTATAAGTAGAGTTTGTCTCTAGTGTGCTCAGTTCTCAAAAGCTTTATGCTGCTCCTCTCAAGTTCATTTGCGTGGTGGCAACTAAGTTTCACCAAAATCTAAAGATGAGGCCCACCCTTGTTGCATTTTCTTAAGTATAGCCATCTTGAGATCATGCAATACTGCAAAGCAACTTCAAGTAGTGTGAACGCACACTGCCCTACATATGCACAAGGAGGAGATCCTTCCTTCCTCCCTCAAGGAAGAAACCAGAAAAATGACAGTTGAAGCAAAGGAGCAAAAGAAGGAGCGTAAAGTTGCTGCTCTCGAGAGTACTACAATAAAGCTGTCACAGGTCAGTCTGCGTCAGGGTGCAAGTACATCAAACACGGACTGGTAGCAGGCCAACTGTATCTTTCCTGGAAAGGCCATACATTATCTTCAGCTTCACACATCTGGCTGAACCAGAAACTCCAACCTCTAGAAGCATCACTGCCAAGAATATGAAATCACGATGGCTGCCTTGGCAACACTGGTAAACGAATACATATTAATTTACCACATCCTGCTGACTGAGGCTAGGAAAATAACTTGTGTAGAAACACCTCTGCAGTTATGTGCAAGCCTGTACCTTACTCCGTTGCCCTGACTCCTGCTGTTGTACACTGACACAGAAGACAAAAGAACTATTTCAATGCAAACTAGGACAGCAGTCTGGGACAATTTAAGTCAATGTTCTCTACTTACACTGATCCCAAAATACAGAAGCATATTTCAAAGAAGAAAATGGAAAGCAATGTCCACCTCTGCTGGAGCTGAGAAGCAGAACTGGGTGAACTGCAATTAATGGGTGAAGGCCTCAAGTGAAGAAAAAAAAGGGTTAGGGTAAAGTGACAGAAAGCAGTCAGAGAGAAGCAAAGGTGAAAGAACAGCAAGCAAAAGTTAGAAGAGCTAACAAGGGTTCGAAGAGCAAAGCAAAGAATGTCAGAGAAGCAACTGAAAGAATTCCAGGCGGAAAAAGTTCCAAACAGTAATGCAGGAAAAAAAATACCCGAACATATCACTACTTTGGAAACTATGCAAACGCGTAACACAGTACTCACTGCATCTCGCCTAGCACATTCATCCTCTCCACGGTACTGGGGCCACCCTGGCCCCCCCGGCTGGCCATGCCCTGCTCTGCCTGAGGGGATCTCCACTTGTTGACCTCCGATCCTGCTAGCAATTCCCACCTGAGTGAGGTGCTGTATCTGAGAACCTTAAAAGCAAATATTGTTTTTTCATCTTTATATACAGTCAAGTTTGTAGGGCAGACAAATGACAACATAAAATTTTGTTGGAAGCAGGAGCAAGAAGAAAGTGGAGCTCTGTTTCTGTGCAATTAATAAAAAAATCAGCAGAAAGAAGGCTGTCAGTGTAACATAAAGAAGGAAACGTTATGTGCGTTTTGTGCAGTTCATTTGAGTGTGATGCTTTTCATTGCCACTGCACTGAAATAAGAGGTTCAGCTACATGCATCTCAGACACGGACTACGCTTCATTCCAAAAATATGCCAGCCCTTTCCAGGCAGCATTTACTGAAAGCCCTGGCAATGCCTTCATGTAAATTACTCAGCAGCAAAGAGAAGACTTTTGCTCCTGTGGTACACCTTATTTGCATCACACTGGCAAGACCCTAACTCTCCAGGCTGCTTTCTATTCCATCTCTCAGAAGAACAAAACACGTGACTACGTAAGAGTATGGTTCTTTCAGCTTTGCTTTGTGGTTAAATATTAAGCGACGCTGTCGTGGACTAACGAGAAGGTCAGAACATTATCTCCTTTCAGCCTGAAAGTTAACCGTCCTCCTTTCTCCTTTCCCTTCCCTCCCCTCCTGCTGCTTTCAAACACATGCAAGGACAGCCACCACCATTAATTGCAAGAGACATATAACAACATGCCAGCTTTCCTTTTTTCTGAATTTCTTCCCACAGGGAAAAAAATAATTAAAAAATTATTATTATATTTGATTATTCGTTAGAAATGAAACACATTTAATAAACCCACAGATACATAAGAGAAAACTCTGTGTGTATGTACAAAAAGGGAGGAAAAGACAAAAACAACAGTGTGATTTACAGGATGCACAGTTAGGTCACTTTCCTATTTTCCTCTCAAAAAATGGAGTATTTGAGAAGTTTGATATTTGCACGTAATTATGCTGAAGGACAGGAACGAATCATCCGAACTGCCTCCAAACTTTAAAGAAGAATATACATAAACGTTTACAGTGTAGTATGAATCAGACAATAAAATAACCATCACTAAGCTGTAACAGTCACTACATCCCCGTCGTTCTCATTCATTTAACATGTACATGGAGAGGATGCAGCTATCAAAACTAGGACTGACATGAGTATAAGATCATATTTCCCCTCTTTTCAACTCCCCCGGAAGAAAACATTTCTCTGGGAGAAAATTAACTGTGGCATTTGCAAAAAAAAGAATATTTATTTTCAGAATCAGTGTTTGCTGTTTAATTGCCATGTGATGTTAGAATCTTACTCATGATAGCACTGATGAGTGCTACAGAAATTCTCTCACAACCAAATCAGGAAAGAAGGTTTCATACGGGACTGAAGCAATAGATAATATCAGAAGCTAAAAGATCCTGCTTTTATACATACATTTCTAGGAAGAGAAATGAGAAATAAAGATGCAGAAAATATTCAAAAAATTGTTCTTTAGCAGGCTGATTTGGGATGCATCACTTAGCTCATTTAGCACAAAAGATACAGTCGGCAGTGGAAAGTTAGCATACACTGTATGGTCTAAAACAATTCAGTAATTTTCCATTCTTAGAGAACGGGGTTTTTCAAAAATATGCTGTGTATGCATAAACTAATGCTTGTAAGATACTAAAAAGGTGGCAAACAACTGCCTTTTTCTGTACAGTCCTATGGGTGTAAAGTTAACCTCACTTCGTGATCACTTTTTTTTTTTAGCAGTGAAGACAAGGACGATATTTGAAGTGTAGCAGCTGAAGGAGAATGACATCTTAATGGTGACCTCAGTGTAAGAGTACATATGGAAAAGGATCAGTTATTTCAGTGCATATTCAACTTTGACGAAGTGTACCTGCAGTGCTTCCAACTGGTCGTGGCCGTGCCACTAATGGCATCTCCTCTGAGCACATCCCTCTGGAGGAATACTGAACCTCAGGTGGCTGCTGGTCTGGGTGCATTAACTCTGCAGGTTGAAGAAAACCTGGCCCAAAGTTCTGCCTGTGGGAAAGTAAGGACTCAAGATTACAATAAAGGAATTGCCTAATTAGAAGCAGTAATGCAGGTGTACCTCACACAACAACTCTTTATGATGCCTTTTAACATACGTTTTAATAACCTTAAAAGTTAAAGAAAATAATCACATCTGAGGAATAAATTCCTCCTTCATGACCTGCACTGCACAGGAATCAGAAACTCTAACAAAATTTCACACAATTGTTTTTCACACGTTGCAGTCTCACAGTGTTGTGAAAAAAGTCCACAAACCCTGTTTTCCTCCTAAGGCAAAAAAGCATATTCAATTTAAAAAAAAAAAAAAAAAAAAAAAGACTTCAGTAGTGATCTAGCTGCTTACCTTAGCAACAAATCTGACTCCTACTCAAGAGTTTCTGAGCACACAGTTGTGGTCTAAATCAAACCATATACACATGTAATGCAGTCTGTTTCATGAACAAGTATTATTTCATCAAACGTCCAGATAATTTTTCAGGAATTTTTCAAAACTTTGCTCTTTAAAGCTTCAAACTACTCAAAGCTGTCATTAGTATACGTGAAGAGATGCAATGGATACTAAAATTAATGTTTCCTATAATTCAGGCTGGCGCTAGTAGTCATTGCTGCTATATTAACTGAAAAGAGACGACAACAGAAACGGTCATCAGTCTAACTTCATTAATTGTGCCAAGGTACTGGGACTTGTGAAAGAAACCCTATAATTCATTCACAGAATAGGAGTAGAGGAGATGGAAATGCTGCTTTTCTTACATTTCCTACTAACACATCTTAACCTTGGCATGGAAAGATTGTATTTTAAAAGACTAACGGCAGCTGAGTTTTCAAGCATCATTGATTCCTGTTAATTTGGGGGAGGAGTGGCTGCCCAAATTTCAGGTGCTTAGGTTACTAGGCTCATCTCTCTTCGACTCCAGGTACGATCGAAGGAGAGAGACACGCTCCTCATGAGGCATTCAAAGATTAGGTTCACCAAACCATTTCCTGCAGGAGCCTCTCACTGGTGACTATAAAGGCAGCAAAGCGAGACAAGCGTTCTGTCAGGCAATGAAATCACACAAAGTCAGGGCCAGGTGCGAGTTTTACCTGCCTTTTACCACAGCAGCACCCAAGCCCTTCTAGGCTATGGACTGCAACCTAGCCCACTGCTCAAGACCTCAGTTTTACACCCTTTTGTTTTACAGGAAAATCCCATGACTGCATCTAATTCAAACTATTGTTGGTTTGTGCTTTATTTGGAAAACGAACCACCTTTGTATGACAGCCAGATAGCAAAGAAACCTGCCATAGTAATAAATAGCCTAATAAAGCCAAACAAGAGCCTAAAAAAGCACAAACATTAATTGTAAATTATAGTACAAGCTAGTTGGCACGCTGTATTAAATTGAAGAGATCCGAGGGGTTCAAGCTGCAACAACTGCATTGTGGAAGTGCCAGAATTTCCCCAGCTCCCTTGTGTGCAGTCTCACCTGTCCGCTCAGCAGATCCAGAAGAAACCATTTCCAACAAGACTTTTAAGCTAGTTAAAACAACTGCCTGAACGGGTAGGTAATGTTTAACAATGTCACTACCATGTTGATCACCGTAACCAGTAAAGCATGTGATCATCCAGCCCTTTACGCCTGCAACGCTGAGTTACAATCTTGTAGCTGATAAATTACTACATTTTGTTGATGTTGTCCAAAGAAAATCTTTTCACAACATTACTGCAAATGTATTATTTTTGTGCCAGTTTTTCAGAGGACAGGAAGTATATCCTTTATTGCTGATGGGTTTGTACTTGAAAGGTGCACGTTTAATAACCCATGACCCTCTTTTTTAAATCTTCTTTATAATAGCTAGATATAGCTACTCTTTAAAGTCAGAAATCAACAGAAGAGTATAAAAACAAGATACAGCTCTGAATCTACACCATACAAATTTTCTAGTGCTCCTTCCTATTTCCAGACTGAGACCCAGCCTTCAATTTATCTTTGCACATTCAAAAAAAATTATTAATCTCCAGTTAGTTAATTAAGCAGGGAGATACCACCCCAAAAATCAATTTTACACCACTAATCCACTATGGCTAAGTATCTCTATATCTGCTGCATGATGTAATATTAATATTCTGGTAAAAGCTGTTTGTTGTGCCTTTGTGTTTGCCTAGCTGTTATGTGACCTGGGTCTTTTACAGTTTTTTTTACCCAGGTTGGTTCCACCCCATTAAAGATGCTGACTGCATTTGTAGGGAGAAGGGAACAGTACGGTCACCCAACTATTATTCCATGCATGGGATATTTAAGCCAATGGACTATGACATTGATACACGGTACCTAATCGTACTTAACTCAGGTTATTTTTCCTTCCTCTAACTGTTGCACTGTCTCTATCAACTTGTTTATTGTTATCTTCTGAATTTGAGCATGACCCACACTCCACAACCTTGTTTTCTATCGATCAAGCTTTAGGAAACCTTCTGTTCTAAACAAAATTTACAGGAATTCTTCCTATTAAAGCCAATGACCTTTCAGATTGTTAATTTAATGTGGCAGCACTGGCAGAGTCAGCGTTTGAACTATTAATAATGATGCCATTCATTTATAACTTACAGAAATCCAGACTGTCTATGCCAAAGGTTGATAAACTTTTGAAGAAAAAAATACGTTGCAAAGACACTTTCTTGCTCAGGTGTATTACCATGGGTTACTGCACTTTCATGATTAATTATCATATTTTCCCTGAATGCATAACAGGCCAACAAAGAGAAAATCCTCAATAACAAACAATTGGTTATCCTTTCTGCTGGCAGTCTCAAAGCTCATAATCTTCAAGGTAACCTAAGTTACAAAAAATATCTGCACGTCATACTGTGTGCCATTTCACGTGTGCTCCACGCACACTGGAACTGTCACCTTCAGCCAAGATCTATGGAAGAAAATCTGCTTAGACATTCGTCCTTTTCTAGTTGGTCCTTTCAAAGTCAGGTTGCAGAACAATGGATAAAGGAAAGTTCTTCATTTTGCCGTCACATTTCCAAGGCAGTGAAGACTTTAGGTGAAATCTAATGAATGACACCGACACCAGTGGGATTTCATCTCACATGGTGAGCTCTACATGATTCTCCCACAGCAAGGCCAGGAGAAGATGGAAAATTTGTTCTTCCCGCTTGATTTTATAATAACAGGCCTGCAAGGCAAGCCTTCTCTGTGTGGGTCACCATGCTCTGTAATCTGTTCTCAACTTGGTTAAAAATAGAATGAATCTGTTAGTCATCTGCAAGCTTTTGCGAGTGAGAGTTGCCCTGAGGCTACAGAAACACAATGAAAGTGAGAGTATTGGGAGAACTGCATACATTTGAGTAACTGTTTCAGGCTCTCTAAAAGCTGAAACTCAGTGGTTTACTCAGTATTTGGAAGGATATCTCTACAGCCAAGGGGCTAGAAACACATTTCTTTTAAATGCAGGCTTGGATTCCATACAGAATGCGTATGTCATTCATGCTACATAAATAAATGACACAGGCTGGATCTGGACTCCTGCTACTTCTCATTTATACAGTACTTTGCATAAAAATATACCAGTGCCAGTAAGAACTCTGGAGGAATTGCAAGGAAAATAATAAATTATAATTCTGTCAGTGAAAATCTACCTTGGTAGGAGACCTGGTGCTGCTGGCGGAGTCATTCCAAATTCCGTGTATCCCTGCAGAAGAATGAAAAAGAAAAAAATTAAAATAAAAATGCACATCCTGGGAAGTCCACTGCCAGTCTTTCAAGTGATGAATGGCAGAGATCACTAGGACTGTATGTGTGACTTGATCACAACCGTAGGAGCTTAGTTTTACAAATCCGGCACCACAAGAAGATCTGGGAATTGCTGCCACAGTGGGCTAGCAGTCTCTTCTGTCTGATCAGAGTCTTAACTTAAAAACCTTTCAAAAATACTTTCTCTCACTTGCAGAAGATCGGGCTGCTCCAACATCTACTTAGCTTAAAACTTTCAGCAAACCAAGCTTTGCATTTGGAAATCTCTTTATACCTCAACGAACATCAGACTGCAGCAAAGAGACCACAGGGTTCAGACTCAACAGTCCAATGGCATTACGAAATTTCTACTGAATTGTTGTGGAACTCAGTATGACCTGAAAGATTATCCATGTGTCTTAGTGCTCCATAAAATGCAAAAAATCATACACAGAAATACTGCTTCCCTATCCCTCACCTCCTGAAAGTATTTGCATGCCTGCTGAAAAACATGACCTAAGCCAAACACATTCTTTTTTCATTGTCATTTTTTCATAGCACATATATTTTAAAAGAATAAAGTTTTATTCTTGGACATCACAAGACTGATCCGTGAAAGACCATAACAGACAAAACAGAAAAGTTATCCTAAAGGAGGAGAACTCCTATCTTCTCTGGTGGTTGGGATGGGAAAAGGGAAAAGAATCCAAACAAGCTTAAAATGCAAGTTCACAATCTCGTGATGGTCATTTCTGAATTCTCCTGGTTCCAGAAATTGCTCCACATTCGTGATAAGTCCTGACAGTAAGGGCACAGTAACAGTGACCACGGCTCAACTGGTGCTGCCTGCCCAGAAAAGCCTTTTAAATTGCATCACTCACATTAAAGGGGTTGTTTACTGCCTGAGTTGGACCATAAGGTGATCCCCACTGGGTGCATGTGGTTCCCCTCCCTGCTCAAGTAGGAGTGTTGTTTACCGTCTGTCCTTCAGAGATCCCAGGTGTGGTGACGGCCTTGGAACTGGCTGCTTGGCTGCTGGGAGCCACCAGTGCAAAAGCATCATCCAGCAGCGAGTGCATGGTTTGCCGAGCCTCTTCAATGGATGGCTGTGGTGGGACGTACTGGGAGACTGGGTGGGAAGGCAAGCCGGAGAACTTCCCCAGATCACCTGAAGATGATGTCTGAGGTTCACAAGGCAAGTCTGGATCAGACTGGATGAAATGGAAAGAAGGTGAAAGACAGCCAGTGAGAAGATCTAAGCAGCCAGTTTCTAAGCCCTGGTGGGCCTTAAGTCTGAGCAACATTTACTTTGCCAGAACCACAACAAGATAAATGGCACAAGTGCCAGACAAAATCTGACCCTTACCCTCCCCACCTCTGCGTGCACGTATGCATGCATATACATGACACCAGATGTTCAAATACTTAGAGTGATCTGAAACACTTGGATCTCAGGTAAGGCAGCAGAGCTTTGTGCAGGAGTTACTCAGCTACAACAGAAATTTTGTGGTTTACAAGCATGTAATGAAGTTATGCAGAGAGCATTTATTCCACCCAGAAAAAAGACAATCAGGTCTGCCTATGTCATTGATTTCTCTGCAGCTTTTGCAGTTCCAAGCAAATAATTCAGTCTCTAGTTTACAGCTGACCACACGAGTGGTAACATTAAACAATTATTACCTCCTAGAAAACACACACAAAGGGAGCTGTTAAGCAACTAAGTGGTCAGCTGCATGGAACTTGAACTTGGGTGCATCACCTGAATGGGATTCATGTAAGTGCTTCATAGCAGCAACACCTGAGGCTTGCATTGCAATTACTACCTGGGATCTTACCACATGGGCTTACGGGTCATCAGTAACAGGAAACTAAATGAGCTTTGCAGCAGCAGACTTGCTATCAAAGCTCATTCTTACCACTGCATGGAGACTGCAAAATCAGTTGTCAAGATGCAAAAGCCTCTGCGTCATCAGGAACTCAGCATTCTGAGTACTGTCTCACTACAGGTGCCAAAGGGGCTGAGCTTGCTGTGTGACATGTCTTAATTAAACAGCTTCAGATGATAATTCATTCTGCTGCAGCATGACATTAAAATCGTCACACTCTTGTTGGAAGGCAGAGGGAAACCATAGAAATCGATACTGTAGTCACATGACTGCATATGCAGCTCATGGTGAAATTCTTAAAACTGTTCAACCATCTTTCAAGACAAAAACTGTCCAGAGGTTTCCAATATTAGCACTGGGCTTAGTGAAGTCTGCTTAGAAGTGGTTAAAGATGCCTAAATGCAGTTTGTGACATGGAAATGATTGAACACAAGCATTCTCCAATGTCTTTGCCTTTTTTAGACAAGAAACACAATTAATTTTCCTGACATTGTACTGGAATTGTTTCAAGTTACTGCAGTACAAAGACATGTATCTATTTCATTAATAATTAATTCCCACGTTTTAAAGATGAGAAAATCTCTCCTGAAAGGAACTGTGTCTTCCACTCTGTGAGAGCAAAGGATGAAATTTCCTGGAACATATGAATATATAACATCCAGCAAATTGGACTGGAATGAAATCATGTTCAACATATTGTGGAACATGCCAAGCACACTTTCATGTGCAGAATACAATGGCATTAATATAAACAAGGTTTTCATTCTCAGCCTCTATTATCAAGGAATACTTGGCAGAATTTTACTGCTTAATACTGACAGACTGCCAATGAAATCCTTGTTTCAGTTTGATCTACATGCTAACTACATGTGACCGAAATTAGCTACTACAGATCACAGTCAGAAGGCCAAAAATCTCCCCATGTCACAGCTGTCGTTACAACTACCAGAGTACTCCTGTCATTCAAGAGACACACATACAATATATGCAGAGTTATTGACTCCTGGAGGCCTTTTGTATGTCCCGTCACTGTCCGTTGTAATTAACCTGTCCTTTTCCGCATCGATAGGACGACCATTTATCTGATGTCGCCGGCGCTGCCTGGGAGAACGTTTTGAACGAGAACTTAACAGGAACAAAACAAAAAGCAGAGAGAGAGAGAGAGAAAAACAAACAAGACAAAGGTAATCACATTTCTTTTTGCAATTTTCCTTCTCATCCCACTCAAGGTTGAACTACTCTGCTCACTCCCTCGAAGTCAGCCTTGCCTCAGACCTGTTGCTCTTCCCTTTCCCAGTTTTTCATGCCAATTGTTAGTTAGCCTCGAATCTCTATCCTCAAGCTTCTCCTAATAACATTGTCATTGACAGCTCTCCAAACTGTCCCCTTCCTCCCTCAAACTCTCTCCAGTGTCACCTCCCTTCTACACTCATCTTCCAAAGCTGTCTGTGCTCCAGTCTCCCTCAGTGCATTTCCCAGATCTCCCAGACCAATGTCTGACATATTTGCAGTGGCAGAACAGACCACACTGCCAAGAAGGCTTTGCGCTTGGCACGTTGGGTTTAACCCTACCAGGCAAATCAGCTGAGGAACCCATGTAGCTGGGGAAAAGCTACTTTCTAACAGTGCAGAAGCAGTCACAGGGTACCAGTGCTCCACGAACAAAGTACCAGTATTCACAAGCCCTAAACAGAGCCCAGGTAAGACCTTCTCCGGAAATATAATACCAGGAAGGCAGATCTGTGAGGCTGATAAACATGCCTCAGTACCCAGAGAGAATATGTAAAAGGTTATCTCATTGGTTTATGAATTTGCCTTTAAAATTCAGAATCTGCACGATTTACAAGTTGTTCAAGGGTTTCCTTATTTTGCATCTTTTCCCCCCTTTACAAAAATATTATTTATTGCAGTTCATATTTTCCATGTTTCTTTTATTAGTGTTTATATTACAACTTTGATCCCTCTACATCACACAAGAATTATTCAAACAAATGGCAGAGCAAATTGTTTTATACAATTTAGTTTTATAGTTTTCACACATTTGGGTTTATTTGTTGGGAATTCACCCAAGAACTTGTAAAAGAATAATTTCAAAATCTACTGGCGTATACTGAAAAAAATAAAAACGTCTAGAATAAAACCTAAACCTTTTCACCTAGACAACTCAAATTCAGCTAGGGATCAAGACAACTATAGCTCTGAAAGTTCAGAAGTACACGTCTGGTGTGCTTCAGGCACTGACTCTAAAAAGAAAATTATTCTTTCCCATCTTTGAAATCCTTACCTCTTCCTGGGCTCTACGAAGGCAGTAGGCACACTACCTCCAGGGTCCAAGATCTTGTCAATCTGCATCTGTGCCTTGCGATATATTCTGTGCTGATCTTTGGGGTCAAACACCACCATATCCTCCACCACTGGAAATTCATAGTGCCCTTTGCGCTTGGCGCGAAGACGAATCTTATTGCGGTGATGCTCAATCTCAGATTTATGCCTCAGGGCTGTTTGTATCTTAAAGAAGAAGGAGAAGAAAAAAACAACAAAAATCAACTGCACTTTTAGTTCACAGTTTCTACAAACAGAACTTTTTGGTTCCCTTCCATAAACTTCTCCTGTCCCTGTGTCAGCCCCTGCCCCCCACAAATCTATGAAGGATTAAAATAAGTTACCCATTTGTAAACCTACTTTCTATCTTGGATATTTTGCAGTGTTCCCATTGTCTCCCCAGGTAGGTGTGTTATTATTCACATTATACGACTGCCAGCACAGCAGGCGCAATTGGAAAGAGGTGGCAGTCTCTTAACAAAAGGCAGAAGGAACACTAGAGACTCCTGCCATTTGCCAGAAGTGACACTGCTTAGAGAAAATAAGACTAACCAGCACAGGCTATATCTACCTTTGCTTGTCAAACAGAGATATTTGATCAATAGTGTTGAGGTCTGTCACCCATTCCCGTTAATGACCATCATCATGCAAGGAGCAAGAACTTAAAGACCTAAGGCCAGGTTGAATGGGGCTTTGAGCAACCTGGTCTATCGGAAGGTGCCCCTACCCATGGCAGGGAGGTTGGAACTAGATCTTTAAGGTCCCTTCCAAACCATTCTATGATTCCATGATTCATCGAGCTCATAGCAACTCAGTGCCTCTGCTCAGCATGAGAGGCTGCCACAAGTTATGCACAAATGCAGCAGCAATATGAGGGCCCAGGTCCCTAGGCGAACGTGATGTTATCAGCTCTACGTCTTTTTGCAGGCTGAGCTTCCATGCCTTTCTCCCACCTTCTTTTTTCAAATTCCCTGAAGTGCATCTCCTCATCTCAGGAAAGCGATCGTAACACCACACTAGCCCAAGTCCTGGACCAACACTCATTGAAATCATTCTTATCAATGGAAAAGACTTGCGTACCAGATCAGGTAGCAACAACTGCTTTGCCTGTGCTGGACTAGTTCTGGAACAATTCTGCAGCAGTGAATTAGAAACAAAATAAAAATTTATTTTTGTGTATTCTCTCTCAAAAAAAAAAAGTCCCAAAAAGAAAATCCAAAAAAAGCATATAAGGGACACAAACCAGACTTACTCTTTACTTTTACAGTTAGAACTACATGTCTTCTGCCCATATAATCAGATTTCTGTTTTGTGGCCCTACTTGCCAATGCATATTAGATATAAGTATTTATCTCTCTTTCGTAAAGTATTCAGAAACACAGTACCTCACCAAAGTTAAGTTAAAGGCTTCAGTAACCCTCCACTCCGAATTAGGAGAAGATGCCACTTTACACTCAGTACAAAACCAGGATGCAGGTACACGGTACTGTCACAGGCAGTGTATGATGTGGTTTTACAGCATATTGCCCTCTCTCCTAATGCCCCAGGCATGCTCATATTCTGCTTACAGTAACCTGAGCCTCAGAGAAAGCAGGAAGTTTCTCTGTGTTCACTGTCAGATAAACGTATCAGAAGTTGGAAGAAATGAATGTGCTGCAAATTCACACCCCAGAATGTCTTGAAATAACTTGTTTGTATAACCCACATCCTGAGTTGCTGTAGAGTCAAAAGAATGGTGAAGAATGAAAACCAAGGTAGGCCAGACATTCCAACTCTCACATGCTAACACAACTCTTGTAAGTCAAGTCCTGCTGACTAGAAAAAGGATGGTAACACAATGTATCCTGACCATTAAATTTGCTCCTCTCCGAGTGTTTAAGTTTTGGTTCAGTATCTCTTAAACACAGGTCAGATTATGTCTTTGGATAGAAACAGGATTATTCCTCTAACTTGTCATAATTCAACTCCTCAGGAACTAACAAGAAACTCCTGATAACAAGAAACCTGATACTTCTCACTTCCCTCTTGTCTGGGCATAGTCCTGCCCAAACATTCAAAGCACTTTAAAAAAATACCTCGTTATTAATTTTGTTGGTCTCTGCTACTCGATCAGAAAGCACTGAGTTCTGAACCAGAGGCACTGCCATCGGTTGCATAGCAATCAGCTGTATCTTGCCTGGGACCCGTCTGCTGGCATCTGAGGAACGGGACATCCTATCCACATGTTCAAAGATGGAGGCTGAGGAGTGCTGCTCCTTTCCACTGCTGGTCTGAGGAGGACCTAAATCACCAGAACAAATACAGAGTGTAAAGTAGTGCTGCTAGGGTTATCTCAGTCGAATGTTAAGCTCTACAGATGCTATGCTCCAAGACTATGCCATGTTTTCCATCTGTGTTTAATTTGCCCTATAGGCCTTCCAGCTGATTCACATTTAGTGTACAACAAGTTTACTCAGTGGTTTGCAAATTATAAACATTTTTCCATTATATTTCCAGAAGGTGAACTGTCATTCTTTATTTCTGTAAATCAAGCTCTTGGCATTTGCAAACCCCCAAAATCTCAACCTACTTTACTCCATAAAAAGCTGTTCAAGTACATACTGCTAATGGTTCCTCTTATCAGTACTTAAGGAGATGCAAATTCCTCAAATGGAGGTTCAAAGAGTAATAAAAGATGTCTCACTGCAAAATGCAGCTCATAAGTGACAGAAGGAGAGATATATGAACTAAATAAAGCCCCCCTTAGAAATCCACACAATACACAAACAATTTTACAGACATTTTACTGATTAAAGCTTTTAAAGCACCGTTTTCTCCTCTCTGACAGGATGAACAGTTCACATAACAGTAAAAAAGCTGCACAAATATTGCCATGTTGTAATTTGTTGAAGAGGTGGTATCAACTCAAATATAATCAGCAAAAGATGTTACGGAAACCAGTACACATGGAAGTTGTGGCCCTGGTCCTGCCAACAGTTAATCACTGCAACAGAAATGGGTCATCTCCCTCAAAAAACTTGATATCTGTAGGATCACCCCAGTGGTTTGCAGTTAAGCACATACTTCAGCACTTTTTTGCTGGAGCTAGGCCTACAACAGGAACCGTTACGTGGATTAAGCTTTCATAAACTGTTGAAGACTTGCAAAATAATCTTGTATTGTCCACACAGTAACACCACAAATTCTCAAACTGTTTTTCACCTTGAAATGTAAGCAATAAGAGGTTAAGATTTCTGACTCTTCTTATGCAGGAACACAACAGAATACAGTGACAAGGTCCCACATCCTTGCACAGACTTCTAATAATGGGCTGGGGTTCTCAGATTCGAATCAGAAGGAGAATCTGATTTGATTCTGATATAGAATCAATTGTTATCAACCTGATCCAACTCCAACAGACAAGCAGGAAAAGAACAGCCACTGCTCTGATCCATTTGCAACACATGCTGGAAGTTAAGTACAGGGTTCAGCAAAGGAACGAATGCTATCTTCTGTAGCAGATGACAGTAGATGACTTGCTCCTTTGTCTCCCTCTTTTAGCACAAAAAGGGAGCAGGAGAGGGAGAGAATGGTACACTTCATTATATTCACAGCACATTACTTTTGGGCTAGAAAGTAATCTGGTTACAAGCCAAGCAAAATTCCTGTTTTTCATATTTCTTAAACTTGATCAATGCATTGACAGATGTACGCATTTATAAAGGGTATGCATAATTTCGTATGATGTGTCCTTAAAAAGAAGGTAAACAGTTCCACTCAAGATCTCTGTGTCCCAAACGTTTTGCAAGACACAGAGCCTAAATGAAATATATATTCATCTCTCTTCTGTAGCTATTTATATGATCTTTACCATTTGTCATCTTCATAGCCCGATCTTCTTGCATTTGTTAGAAGCAGGCAAGCACTGCCTCTCACAGAGAGGGGCACAAGATATATGAAGTAGTTAGTTTGAAGCCCTCAGAGGGATGCTGTAGCGCAATGGAAATCTGAACTTCTGCATCCATCTTTCCCATTTTCCCCACGCATCAGTCATTTTTTCCAACATTTCCAGTCTAACAGTAGTTCTCAAAGCCCACTGATCTCCAACACAAAATCTTCAGGTTATTTTCATATTACTTGGTTAGCAGGGTCCAATATGTTCCATTATGCTGAGCACCCACTCTGAATCTTTACAATTTCACCCACAACCTTTCCTTTTGCATACCTAAACAAGTGCTTGGCAGAAGCCTCTTAGCTGAAATGGTTCTTCTACTCATTTTGTAAAACTGTCCAAAAGTCCCACTGTCAAATTTTGGTAAGGCTTTACAGTAACATCATATGTTACTCCTTTTTGCAGAAAAGATGTACACACACACACACAGCCCCCCCTCCCAAATATAAGCTGCATCTGACCTTTAAATCCTCTCTGTGTGCACATACTGAATGTGTCTAAATACAAACCAAGATGGAAGTATAGTAAAGTAGATAAAGCTGGGAACTGCACAGTGCTGTACACATACAGCAAATGGAGAAGTGGTTTCTAACTCCACACACAAATGAGCTCCTTTAGAAATTCTGACAGAGTGCATAAGAATGGTTTCTTATTTCAAAGTTCTTATATTGCACTGTTGTCCATGGTTAGAAAATATTCCCTATAAGGCAATCAATTAGTACTACATGAATGAAATTTTGATCTCAGACTAGAAAGCTGAGGCTGAAAAATAATGGGAGAGGAATTAATATCCAGATACTGGACAAAACACCATATAGGTCACACGTCAGAATCAATGTTCATCACTGTTCCCTGGGTTGAAACTACTAATTGAACTGAAATGTCAGAAAAATGAATTGCTCTCCAGGAAGATATGATTTCATATGAAAACCAAGACGGTTAGAGACAGAGGAAGCCTATTGCTTCCTGCACCCTCTTGAAATAAAAAGAAGACACAGCAACGAAGGTGCATAAAGCCCAACCCCAAACCAGGCAAGGTCAATGGGAATCTTCCACTGATCCACTGGTATTTGCATCATGCCAGAGTATGCAGTTTCAGATAAATTTCACACAGTTTCTTTGTATCCCAGTAGATTATATCCCCAGGATGCCACTGATGACTCTCATTAGTTACTTGTACAGACCCAACCACGGAGAGTCTCATAGCCAACCTTATATCCATCCTTCTCTACTGTTTTAAGATGGAAACTGCTATCGTAATACACAGACTTTAATTTATCACTAGATATGGTATGCATTATCACAGACTGCGCCAGTTTTCTCCTGCCCCATCTTTGCTGTATCTCACTCCTGACCAGAAAAACACTAGATCATGAGAAAATCTTTGTGCTTCTCTGCAGGTAGCTTGTATTTGTCTCAGGCTTCCAGTAAAGACACTAACTCTAACAATATCTCTAACTTGTTTATACACAGCTAGTTTAAGGACCAACAGCTGCCTCAGTTTTGCTTCTTTCAGAGTGATATTTTCCTTAATAATTTGAAAGAATTGGGAGGAAATTAGAAAAATGTGCCTCAGTTGGATGACTATAATTTGTGTTACTGAGAATTTTTTATACTTCAATAGCTCAAAAGCAATTTTGTTTTTATAGACTCAGAAGACAAATCCTTCCATCCTTAAGATATAATTGCAGCTACCCCAGCACCTCTATTCATATTTGTACTCAACTACCAGCTCTGGTTACTTACCCACTCCGTTTGCTCCTGACAACATAAAGGAAAAAAAAGAAACACAGTAATTATTACAAATAATTCAGCTGGAATGGCAACTGGAAAAAAAACACAGCAGTAAGATGATTGCATTTACTTTTGAACGAAATGCATGAACTTGGATCAAACTGCCAAGCCTCAGCTGCACAAAAAGGGAGCTGAATCTGCCATTTAACAGAGAGCTCCCTGCAGACAGTGCCTCCAACTCTGAATATTAAAAATAGTCCCTATGATTATGAAACTAGACACACCAAAGGCTGAAAATAGCATATTTCATCCAGTAAGGCCATGATAGGTAAAAAGGACACAGTTTACACAATATCCTTGCTGCCTTTGCCAGATAATTCAATTGCAGCAATACCTAACACTTCTACACCAAAACGGAACGTTAAACCTTATGTAAGGTTTTAAGCCAGACGGAAAATCAAGCGACAGAATGGAGTGCCCAGGTAAGAATAAATGGGAGACCACTAAATCAGAGCAACAGAACTGAAGTCAGACAGGTTGGAGCAACTCATAAACCATCCTGACATCAGCTGTGTCAGAGTAATTGCTTTCCTCTATATTTACTTTGGTTTGCTCTAAGGATCAGAAACCATGCCCAAGGCACTGAAAATAATCATAGCCTCAGTACAGTGTCTTTCTTCTGTAAATTGTGTGAAGTATATATATATAGCACACACTGCCTACTGAATTATTAGGAAGTATCACTTTCCAGTCACATTAGCAGACACTGTACTTTGTTTTCCTAACATGTTTGTTACAGAGGAAAGCCTGCTCCATCACCCTTGCTCTTCCAGAAGCGGTCCACATAATGTATGATTCTTAAACTTTCATAATTTAACTCACTGTTTAACCATCCAAGAGCTAACAGTTCATATAAACTATCCTACATATTCCTTAACCCCATTTCTTCAACACAGGCAAAAACTGAAGATTGCCTGCTATGATCTGAATGTCACTGGCACTGCATTCGTCAGCAGTCATCTTTACGTCTCAGCTGGTATTTCACAGACTATGTGGGGAAAACCTTCAACATACTGCAGAGACTGCTTGCAGTGTGGTCAGTATTTTCTTCTTCTCAGTTTCTGCTGCCATCGAGGCCATGTGTATGAAGAACAGATGGGGGGTATATCACAAACTCCTTTACCAGATATTCAGTATCAGAATTTTCTCTAAGAATACTAATGTGATTTAAGGCAAAGATATGGTAACTAAAACCTCAAGTAAGCAAATCATCTAAACCCAAAAGGCTCTCGGAAAAAACACAGTGTGTGTGTGGGCACAGTTTTACTACACACTTTTAAACAGGAAAAGAAATTGAAAGAATGTTTTCATTTAAAAAATGAAAGTGGGTTTGCAGTGTTTTATCAACATTTCAATGAGGAAAGAAACACACCTTAGGGTACCTCCAAGACAAACGGTGGCACTTTAACTGGAAGAAAGATGGTTCTTCACACAAAGAATTCACTGTTATTAATGTATTAGCACTGGATTTTCATCTTTTCAAAGCACAATTGTGAAGGCATTTTGTACGTTTGAATTAGAACTTACTTGTAAAACTTTTACCTCTCTGGTGTCCTTTCTTTAATCTCACTTTTTCAAAGTTACAAACACATACCCACGCTGTATCAAGCCTGCTGTGACCTCTGCTGCCCGTGTAACTGCCTGCAAGACTGCTACCACAAGAGACACAATTAGGCCTAAATGGAAAGGGGTTTGCCAAGGGGAATGAAACGAACGCACAGATCTGCAGTTTCACCAGAAGAAATGAAACCAAAAAGTAGAGTGAGAAACTTTTCTGCGAAACAAACCAGAAAAAAAAAATCAACAGCCAGAGATGAGTTTAGAAAAGTTACAGCACTAGAGTAGCTCTTCAATCTGAGTAAAGCGCTGCTAGTGCACACAAGAGGAAAAAAAAAAGTAACACACCCTTCTTCCATGCTCTGCGTGGTCTGCCCGCACTCCCAACAGTTGATGGTCTTGCAGTTTCTTCTCCTGTCTCTCTCCCACTGGATTGTTCGCTCTCTGTGGAGTCCGCATCTGATGGCAAAACTCTGCCATAAACATTAAAAAAACCAAACAAACCAACATGTAACATAAGTCTGCAAAGGGGCACAGTTCACACAGAATACTGTGGCAAAGTATCTTGTGAAGACAGCTCACATTTTCCTCTGTTCATAAGTAAGTTTGCAATCATAGTTAGATATTCATTGCCATGATGTTACGGTTGTTGCATGTGAAAACTGACCGCAACAGGATTCACATGTGACAAGATTAACAACTAATCTTTCCTTTAAAATACACTTCAAGAAAAAAGTCTGCATTCATAAGCAGCAGTTTACTGTTTAGATTGAAAAGAATTCTATTAGAAATACGAAACCCGTACAGGTGATTAGTCTAATATTCAGACTTGCTAACTTGGTGTGCTCTTGCTAACACTACAAGTCCATGTGAATATTTTCTTGACTAGTTAAACACAAGTCAATTAAAAAATGCTACTTTTACATATTTATCCCACGCAGTTATGAGATTCTTAAAAACATTCTTTACCTACAAATCATTATTCATGATTTTTGTGGGTGATTACAGCAGAATATAAAGGAATACTTCGTTTTTCCCCAACAGAAAATTTCAGTTGTAAAATTATCCATATAGTGCAGAAATAGGAAAAACATAGGGCATGTAGTACCGCCCAGCTGACACCAAAGCCTGTCTTTTCATACGAGATCAGCCTTGTGACAGTGTCTCTAGTGACCATTTTGTCTTGTGAACATTCATATTCTGTTCCTGCAGGGAGTTAATTACTAAAAGCGTGCATGTGTCCGTGCACTAACCTTGTTAAGCGCACGATTTGCCTGGGCTAGGTGGATATCTGAACTAGTTACTGAGGCTCTTGGCCAACCATCAACCTGCCTAGAGCACAGAGACTGAGGTAACTATGCCCAGCCAGACAAGGTCACTGAAAGTTAAACCTGCTCCTTGCAGCAGGCAATGCTCTGGATTCAGCTCCCCTTCTTCTCCTCCCTGAACAACGCACTGATAATTGAACTCCATCTTTCACTCTTTGTTGCAGGACTGTAATACTGTAAGTCACATCCCAATTAAAAATAAAAATAGCAGGGAAAAAAGGAGAAATGGTTCTCAATGAGTTTACAGATCTGCACCATTGCATCTTTGTCTCTTTCCTGAGGTGGAGACGGTGGGCAGAGCTATCATCTCCATCGCCTTTCTCTCAGCTCAGCAGAGTGTAAGGCTGGAGTTCTGCTCCCAAATCTGCTACTGACTTTCTGTTTCACTTCACTGTGCTTTGTTTTCCTTCATACTCTTTCCTCAGCGTATCTAAATTATCATTAAGCCAATTATAGGAACATAAATAGTGCTGAGTCAACGTCAGTCATTGTTTGTAAGTGCTGATGAATATGCAGTTCTATCCTCTCAAGCCAAAACAACAGGTCCAACTCTCAGCCGGAGCCTAGAGACGCAGTGCTTTCTCAACTTGGCTGTTTCTCTTGTTTGCTGTTTTTTGCAGATACAGAACGTGTACTCACATCATCGCCGTATTTCCTGGCATGCAACATACAGTCCTGACTGCACTGTGATGAACTGAGTTCTGTATTTCCTCACAAAACAGAAAATAGCTAAAAGCAACATAACACACTATGCTATTATTTCACATTTCAACTTCTGCCTCAGGGAATAAATGTTTTAAACCTCAAGATGACATGGGCTTGTCAGCATGTTAGCGAGATGGCGGCAACATCTCCATACTTAAGCCTAAAGGGAGATTTGTCTTAAGGGAGGATGAGAGGGATGAGGGACATTCTCTTTGGAAAACATTTTGGAGTGTTTCAATTTAGATGCTATTAAAAAAAAAAATATATCTTTTTTCCAAATTTGATCAATGATTCATTATTGTCTTCAGGGGATGCATTAAAATGTTGGCTTCTAAAAATTTTTCCTGCTTCATTTTCTGAGTTATTCTAGATTAAATACAGCAACAGCCTCAAGTTTACATTTCTTTCTTGCACTTAAGTGCATGTGAATATATAGATACCTTCCCCTCACTCTGAGTATCATCTCTGTCTTAGGCCATTTTTGAATTTTTTAAAAGAAACACTGGTCCTTCTGATTTGTATTAATTTGTTTTAGCTTATTTAAGCTACATCAAAACAAGTTAGCTAATTTTTCTTCCAGTATTTGCCAGTTTTGCCCACCTTCCACTGTACTACTGGTAGTCTACTACTTGCAAGGCCTATAGGGAGGTAGGAAGACAGGCTCAGCATCTGGGCAGGTGGAAACTGAGCTGTAGCAAGCCCACATCGGGAAGATGAAGCAAGGATCTTAGGATAACTGGGGCTTTAGAGGAAGCACAGAAGCTTGAGCAGACGAGCAAGCTGTGTCACACAGACCTGCAGCTCAGGAATAACGACCCTCCGCTGCTTTCTAAGCTCATTCAGCTCTGCCCTTGGTTGCCTATCTGCCCTGGGGATGCAGAGCTGATGACAAAGCAGTGCAAAACTATGAGAGGGAGGGAGAGGAAGAAGAATTACCAGAAAGTGGAGCGCAGAGGAGCTCTGCAGTGAAGAGCTGTTTGTGACTCATCATAGCACTCCTCTCCTCAGGGCTCCATTTTTTTCCCACCTATTACCTTCCCAATTATCCCTGTTTTTTTTTTTTTTTAAATGCACAGATCCTTCTTTACCGCATAGCTCCTTTACAGTGTCTATCCTACAAACACCATCCTTTCCAGCAAGACACATTAACATCATTTGGTTATTGGAAAAGGTTAGGAAATCACTGCTGAAGGTTGGCAGACACTTCTTCACTTGCACAGCTGTAAATTATCACTCCTTTTCCTGACCAAAGCTGAGAAGAACCAGATGACCACATATAAAAACACTCCTGCATCTTCCCTGAATTTTGGAGATACTGCTTATTTCTGGAAATTCCAACTTATTATACATGTATTGACCACTGTTAATATTACTGAAACCCACTGCTATTCGTCAACGGTTTTCATTTGTTTTTAACCACCCATTGCTTTAGTCGCTAGAGATCACTACAAAGAGAACACATCAGAAAACACACGCTTGGTGTTTCCACTAAACAAGCAATGACTTGACTCCAGCCAACCTAGTAGTGTCTTAAACACCCCTCTTAACTGGGCATACTGCCTTTAAGAGATATATGGACACTTCAGTTCTCACAAAGTTGTACTAATGAGTAGCAAGGCGTAACTCTGACAGCCCACTACAAAACCGAAGTCCCAGAGCTCTGGAACAGTTCTTTCCACTGAAATTGCCCTAAAAATACAGTAATTGCCCTAAAAATACAGTAATCACCAGCTGTTAATAAACCATCATCTATTACAATTTCTTTTTTCTCTGTAAACTGACCTCCCTCTGTGTCGAATAGTCTTTGCAGGCTTTGAGGGAGTCTTGGATCTGGGGCTGGGCACATCTCCATTTTCAGATGAGGTAGTATCCTTAATAGGTCCTGGTAAAGCAGCTGACTCATGGATAATCAGGACATCATCTTTATTGTGCTGGCCCAGATGCTGCTTAGCAAAATCAAAGCCTTTCACACTGGGGGCCTGTAGCTGTGAGAGAAGAACAAAGACAAAAAACAGGAACCGTGAGTGACAATGAGTACAAGGGCTTTAGTTCAGATCTGCAAAAAATGGCCACCACGAGGATGGTCAGGATATGGTAGTCTCAAGGAACGCACATAAGAGCTGCAGGGAAAAGTCATGCCCCCATGATTTTGTCATCTTACTTCAGTATATGATACACAGTTTAAAACTCCAAATCAGCAAATCTAGTTTAAAAAATAGCCTTCTGTTGCTGCTACATCTTTTTCCAGCTGTTTCTTCAGATTTAATCATTGTGTGAGGAGATTTTTGTGTGCCTGTGGGTGCAAAGCCATAGATATCTGTGTAATGACTGAAATGGTTACCACTGCCAGGTCATCTTTCCACTTCTTTCAGTCAAAATGAGTGAAGTGAGTTTAAATAATCTGAATAATGTCACTGCTGATCTTCCTCATTTTGAGCTCCCCAAATCTGCAGGAGGCTGGGAGTGCTTGTACAAACACCTAGTTCTTCTGATGAAAGAGAAACATTCTGCAGATCTGAGCTATACGGCAGCTTGGCAATGACTTTTCAACCAGCGCGGACGCCTCCATAAAAGAACAGAAAAATCTAGTTCTTAGGCATTTCATACTGAACAGACAGAAAAATACATAAAAGGCTTTGGCGTTGAGAGAAATTAGATACTTATCATAGAGATCTTATTAAGGGATTATGGATTCAATGGGTGCCTTGCTTGAGAAAGACACAGAACTGGGCCTTTCATTTTCATAACTGTATTTATAAAAAAGCTAATCTCACCTTGTCAATGACTTGATTCAAACTTAATTTAATCAAGCCTCCAAGTTTCAGTCCCTCCTGCTGATTTTTTTGGGCTTTGGAGTAACCAGAAATTCTGAAGCACTAATTAAGATAAAGCTTTTCTTCAAGTCCTGCTAAATTTTATGTAGTTTGGAAGTTGAAAGTAGAAAGAAATGTTGACAACCCCAGTTTTCAAAGTGCAAGCACACAAACCCACTGCACAGCAGACGTACAAAACCCTCTGTGTGTTCACAGAGCTGATCTCCTGCAAAGTGAAGCATGTGCTGGAGCGCGTTTATGGGTGCGTCAGGTTCCAGATGTTTAAATGAACCCCCTTTCATAAAGCTTGGCATGCCAACATAGTTAACTACAAACAGACTCGTCTGATATCATGCCAAAGATAAGCTTGTCTAAGGAATATTCTGAAACAATCTCTTCAAAATATTTTCTCAGTAAGCAAACATTTTCCAAACGGTTCTTAGAAAGGATATTGTAGTAGAGCAAACTGCCTATTTAGCCCAGTAGATGGCAATAAAAGCTCTCCCGTAAAATCCAACGACTACCTGAACGATCAAGGTTTCGGAGTTCATTTCTCACAAGATGAGTAACATTATTTGAACTGATCTGGAAGTCTTCCACTATACCTCAGTTTTCCTGGGCTTTACAACAGTCCCTTCAATTCAGCATTACGGGTGATTCAATTACTGAATTTATGTAAATGACTGTAACCACCAATTCAGAAAGGCACTGTTGAGCTAGACCAGGTGGATGTGTAACTGTTTCTCCATTTTTCAAATAGACGCATAGTGAACCCTTCCTGAAACCTCCCCCCCTCTAGAGTTGAAACTCTGTCTTTAGCATATTCTTTGCTTAAAAAAAACACCCCAAAACTCCATGCTTTTGTGTTCCCCCACCTCAACCCTAAAATACTTCCGAGGAGGAACTTCTCAATTCTACTGTCAGAATTCTTATGCATTCGAACGCACTTCGATTACTGAAACTCCTTTTAGTTATCCCACCTCCACCTCTGATCTGTTTGACATTATGTCAATTCTCTTTGAAGATATTCCTGTGTATGACACTCTTCCTTTGAACCCCTTCAATGGTTTCCCTTCTTCTAACCTTTTCATACTTGACCCTTGTGCCTATACAGCTCTGCTGCTGATCCCTGATGATCACTTCCTCTGCTTCACCGCATTCCCCTCCCTTGCCTCCAGCCACCTTTGCTTCAAAGATGACGAGAGTCTTCACCATGTGGCAGGCACAACTATTTCACAAAAATATCTGGTGGTGTTCTACCCTTTCCCAAGCACCACTGACTTGACCTGCACAGTTACTACTCCTTTTTGAGTAGTGTGATGGGTGCAGTGGGCAAGGACAACTACAGACAAAACGTTCTAGTAACACTGGAATTACTAATATGGTTATATTAAGATTGCTGCACATCTGAAGCATGCATTTCAATATACCTTAGAGCTAACTCTAGCATACCGGGTTTGTAAACCCTCTGGGGAGTAAAGCAACATGAAAAAATAAAATTGTTAATATTTTAACTTTGAATAGTCTTATTCCTAGCTGCAGTCTAACACAACCTTTTATCTTAGCACAGTTACGGAAACAGATATATTTGTGCGTACATGTACGTACACTGCAGCATATGTATGCACAAATGTTTATCTGCAGACAGACCACACAGAAGCTGAATTAAAAGACTGTTACTATTGCAAAGACAAGCACTCACACTATAAAAATGGCACAGTTAAGATTGTCTGATCACAACCGGATCCTCCCCTGCATACGCACTGCAATAGAGTCTTGAGTTACAAAATTATAAATTCATTTCTTCCATGGAACCCTCTTGCTCTCTCCCACCTTGCTGAATCCTTGGCATAGGCTAGGCCTTCTGCTATTCATCAAAGTTGGGTAGAATATAAGAATCTTATTTGTAGAACCAGGATACCCATCTCATTTCACGGAGAAGCTGGCAAACACATAGCAAAAGAAGGAGAGGATGTAAGAAGAGAAAGGATGTATTTTTACGCACATTTGCAGCTAGGATGGCTGAGACTTTGCCATTGGATTTCATGGACACTTGCTGGCAACAGAGGACTGGCAAGTCTCGGGTATCACCATCCCAGGCCTCAAAAAGCGCTCACCCTAGGCATCACAGAACCTGTGGCACTGTTTTCCTAAACCTGCAGCCAGGTAAACTCCTCAACCGGTCTTACTCCGCCTTGCCAGGCAGAAAAACCAGCCTCCCCATCCTGCCCTCTTGCCCCTCTCTCCCTCTGCCTGCCAGCTGCCAATTCCAGTTTACACAATCCAAGAGCCTGAGGCTCACTGCTCCTTACTGCTTTACCTGGCCTCTTAACAACCTCTTGTGTACAGCAACAGAGAAAACACCCTCTCAGCTTTTACAGTACAGCTCTACAGAGCTTATATACGCAGAGAAGGTGTAATCCTATGAGAATTTAACTGGTAAACCTCTATCATTAAAGTCTCTGTCAATCCCATGCAACCATTTTCCCAAAAGTTTAAAACTTACTCAGAAATGGGCAATTCCCCACAGAATCATCAAAAGCATTTCCCACGCACAAAACCACCTTCTGGTCCTGTTTCCTTTCCTTCCCCACCCTGCATCCCCAAAGGCTAAGCATATGCACTACAGTGTCTCCGAAAAGATTTTTAAAATTTGGGCAGAGAACTGTATTTTCTCTTAACCTTGCTCTTTGAAAGAACAAGCTCTTCTTATTGTCTCAGAGAAAGGTTCAGTATGAAACCGATACTTCAATGGAAAACTTTCACCTGAATGATTCAAATCTTGCAGAGCTCTGTACAACCAAATAACAACATTTCTAGATATCTCCTGCTAAAAAAGCTTAAGCTGGCACTACCAGCTCCAGCCAATACATCAACAGTACAAGAGACAAGAGACTGTATGCATCTGTGTATGTGCGTCTTTGTGCATTTGAATAACACGATAGAAAAATACAATCTGGAAATACACATATACAAAACATGATACATGACTGAACATGAAAAGATGAAATGAAAAGGTCCTAAATGAAAAAACTGATAAAATGACTTATTAAAAATAATATCCATTATCTGACAAATAGAAATACTAATATGATCACTACTGCAGCAACAACGCTGACAGAAACCCACTTCCCTTTCTTCGAAAAAAAACCCCTACACTTCTGATACCTCACCTCTCAGACTACGGCAACCTTCTGATTTTAACTGGGAACTGATACTGACCAAAATGTACATTTTCAGTGAAAAGTGTCTGAAGGACACTGAAACCCAACTCTGCTTTCTGCAAGACGAGATGGTCAGATCACCGAGACTCAGTGGAACGAATGAATAGTGTTGCTCCAGACTGAAGAAGTTTCCTACATTTTCTTAGGAATTTCCGTGTGCCACCTGCCGCATTCTTCCTTTTCTTTAGGTCAAGTTCTATAGTGTAACAGATTGGATGACCTCTGCTCATCTTAGGACTGGTAGTCAGAATACCACGTGTGGATCAGTCACCTGCTGCTCAACCACTACCAAGGAAATAACACCAGCTCTTCTTAAGAGCACATATGTGCTGATACCGCTACCTGTTTAGGTGCTGAAACTGAGCCTCTTTTTATCACCCTGCAGTGCCTTTACCTAAGCTGAACAAAAGCAGTATCAGCAAAGACTTCATGTTTTAAATGTAAGTTGTTAAAGAAGATTTTCATTTGCTTTATCTTTATATATTTGCAAAAGGGAAAAGGTAAAACCTAAATGAGTTTGTCCAACACATTCAGAAGACATTATGTTATTATACAAATGCAGATCCTGC